GATTCCAGATTTTTTTTTACTGTATCAATAACAGCTTACATGATTTAGTTAGCCTGATTCCATGACATTACCATAACACCAATCTGAATCGATTGGTTATCTTTATGGGGACGCCAGAAAAAAAAAACAAAAAAAAAAAAACAAACAAAAAACAGATCACTAAATATTCATTAATGCATTGGGGAAAAAAAAAAAGAAAATAATTGCTGCCAGCACTGGATTAGATAAATACAGCCAAATTCACAGGGGGGAAAAAATAGGAAATTAACCTCGTGTTTAAACAATATGCTTTACCACAGCAAGTGTAGCAGCAATCAGACATTGCTTTCAATTTCACCATCCATGGAAAATAAAACCTGAACAAAACATCCATTTTTGAGAAGTGATATTACACACACATGCACGCACACACACACACACACACACACACACATCAAAGCAACCAACACATCAGAACAACGACACAATCCTTTTCCTTGTTAGTCAGTAATTCCATGTCTAAGCCAATGTTATAGGATTGATCTACCACATACATTAATATTTAGCAAAACTATGCCGATACCAAATATAAAACATTTGCTTTCATGATCATGATATTATTTTCAATTGCAATACTTAGAAGAAAAGAGCCATGTTCATCAGTCACAGACAACAGATTGTTGACTTGTCAAACCACTATATAGGCCTGATACCAACTGATGCGAAACTTTTACCATAAATTCTTCAATGCAAGGACTGACATATTTTCAAATTGCTCTTTTAATAATTCAGACATAATTAGAAAAACTAATACACAAAGTCCTGCTGAGAATAAGGAACCTGTATGCTGACGCCTGTTATACAGTACAAGAGCCTTGATCGGTGCATATGACTTTATTCCCATAGACACGATCAACCCTGCAGGGGCTCTCAGTAAGTACAATCAGCTTTCTGCATCATGCTTCCTTTCGTTCCCAATGTACTCATAGGATCACCAGCTTTTCTGTATTCTACTTAATGCCAGGAGGAGGTGTGTTAATCTGTTGAAATGATTGCATTCAGCAAGAGTCCCCGCAGAGTTGGATCAATCTACATAGACCAATGGTGTCTATGGGAAAGGGGCCTATAGCATACTAGCTTTAAAGACAGTCTCAGCGCGTTAAACCCTTAAAATAGCACGAAAATGAATTTTCCTGGAAAACTCACCAATTTCCCCATAATGACCAAGGTATATCCTATCCAAAACCGTTCAGAAAATGAAGCTACCTAATACCGTTTTTAAGTTCCATTAAATAATAAAAGACGACTCGTCTTAAATACTCAGCTACCACCTCACAGTACGGCTTCAGAACGCGCAATTTCTCGCCAAGTCTCGCGGTTTACTATGAATGAAGTACTACGGCTGAGACCCGGATGTTACTATTTGGCGCCAAAACAGCAAACATGGCTCAGACGCGCGTCAAGTCTGAACAGGAGAGCGACAAAAGGGGGCGAAAGAAAATAGCCACTCCAGTTCGAAAGATACGAAAGAAAATTAGAGACAGACGAAGAAGCACTCAGACTGTGTATGTTGGGAGGGAGGTGGGGCGGTGGAGGACACTTAAAGCTGAGTTAGGACTCACATACGAGGCAATGGCGAAACTACTCCTCGACACGTGAGTATGCGCTTCACAGGTCTCAAGTGTGTCTGATTATCATATTATCCTGTTCACAATAAATGACAATATTTGTGCTCATACAAAGTTGGTTACGTGTATAAGAGCGTTTTGGGCTTTACGTTTTCTGTTTTTGATCGGTACATGTACCGAAAAGATGGACAGGCGGCACTTACATGTCTGACAAGTTTCGCTATGTAGTCGTGACGTCTATCTCATGCTGACTGAAGCCTGCTGTGATTGGTTGTAAGCGTGGGAAAATCGAGGTCGTGACCTTGAACCGGAAGTACTTCTGGCTGTCCTCCGAAATCATGATAAATAGTTTTCGTTTTCTAATTCTTTATTCTAGTTGTCTTAACAGGACTTTTGTGACCCAGACTTATTCATATAATAATAAACAATCTCCCAAAACACAAATCTGATCAAAGTTTTACATAGAACCTGCTTCTATACATTAATCTAACCCACTGAGTTGTCCTTTAATGAAACTTGAAACTGCCATCATTCTTTTTCTATTTTTATGCCCATTTGATAGAAAAATCCATATGTCGTGGTTAGCTTGTGAAGAATTGTTAATTGCATATGTTGATACTACTTTGTACCACAATGGTGCAACAAAAATGTAAGTATGCATGCATGCGCGTGCATGGGCACATTCACAATCCATTCCCATCCATTCAACATGCACACAAAATGCATCAACAAAATTCTTTAAAAGCTAATCTGAGTTCACTGGACTTTACTGTAAATTCTTTCAACACAATTTACAATTTCAAGATCTACATGAAATCATCAGACTAGACAATTACCTTTGGGGATTGAGCAGTTCCACATCAACAGTTCTCTCCCCCTACTCTCTCTCTCTCTCTCTCTTTTCACCAATCAGAACTTCCTCAAATCTTGACAGCACCTTTCGGGTCAAACTGCGCTGCCCGACTTCAAGAGTCAATCGATGAGGTTGAAAAAAAATCAACGCCCCCAGACAAAAAGTCACAGGGCCTTAGGAATGCACCATTGACACCTACCGCTTACACATTGGCAACTCTTTGAGAGCAGAGCAAATAGTTAATTATTATCAATAATGGGCACTTCATACAGGGTATCAATACTGTGCAAATAGTTATGGATTGTAGAAGGCTGCCACATAATGTCAACTATTACATTATAACATAAGACCATGAACAAGGCACTGTCAATATTGGGTTTAATCTGCCTATTTTCAAATGAACCAAGGCAGATTACTTTCAGCCAGGCTATCAGGGGTAAAACTATAAACCAAATACTCAAGAGAATTTGTTTTGGCTGGAGAAAATGAAAGGCAGTGGACACGATTTCTGGTCCAAAATGAACAGTTAAGGGATTTCCATGGAACTAAGGATAGAAAGGGGTAAATTAAGCAAAAGTATCCATAATCACGCCTGAAACAATTGGCAGTATATTGAGTACTTTTGTCTTTCCTTTTTTATCTGTTATTCAGGCAACCTCCTTTTTTCACCTGCCCAGGCTGTATTCAAGCAATACATACTAATCCCCATTACTTGTGTCAACACTTGAAATGTATCAATTCCTACAACAGTTAAAACCCTTGTACCAATCAACATTTCTACACCACTGACAGCATTATTATGAAAGACAGGTACCGGTTTTCTCCCATCAAGACTGCTAGAACTTTGATTACAACTCTCTCTCTCTCTCTCTCTCTCTCTCTCTCTCTCTCTCTCTCTCTCTCGTGTATTCATTATTCTTAGTGTTTGTAAACATGTTCTCCTCTGGGAGGAGGGGGAGGCAGGGGTCAATCAAGTTAGTATTTCTTGGAAAAAGAACACCAAATGTTTTAAAGTTCAATACGCACAGAATAAGAACTGAGAGTCAGCCTACTGTGAGCTGTGGTCTGACTGTAATATAATTTTTTTTTCATTGCTATTTAGTGCCAGTTGAAATCATTAAGTAATATATTTGAAATAAATGTATGTAGAGCTAATTCAAATTTGAAATCTGTAGACAGATATATAGATAAATAAAAATAAACATTTCAAATATTCATGATTATCCTTTGCAACTGGCAAATATTCTATAATATATTTACAAGCTAGAAAGAGACAATGCCTCATCCGCAAACAAGATTCAAAATAAATGAAATCCTTCAGCGTGTACAAAGCAGATATTAGCCCTGCTGCCTTGATTTGGTTTTGTCAATAATAACAGACCAATTTTAAGTGGTTTAGAGATAGATTACCCCTCCTTAGTGAAGCAGATGTACACAAAGCAGATGACATTTACAAAGATGCAATAACGATCATGTTCAAAGTGCATGCATCGGCCAAATCACGCAGACATCTAATACAGTAGTTCTACAGGATCAAATTTTACTAGGCAGAGATAAATTAAATTGCATGATGCACATTGCATAAAAGGTTAATTTACTAGTACACTAAGCTTTAACAAAATGAATTATAAAAATATTTTTACTGACCACAAAATCTTAGGAGCCCCCGCTTCTCTATATGCCCCTCCCACACAGCACAAAAATACACAGTATCACTGCCCCACCCAAACATCAGCCAAAACATACACAATAAATGTGAATATCAGCAAAAGAAGTTGCTATTACAACAGGCATTAGACACTTGTACAGCAAGCATACGTTTTACCAGATTAATTTCATTAGCTTGCCAAATTTCCATATACCACTTTATATATTATTACCTAGCGTGCAATCTTCTAAACGCCTAATAGAAGACATATTAAACCCACTACATGACATTCTGACTGAATAATTCACCTACTTAAACATATTCAGCAAGCATTCCCTAGGCTGTCAGAGTGGTTAGATAATCTGTTCCTAGGGATTTGAGTTTCCTGAGCCTGAAAACAGATATCATAGACCTCTTGATGTCATTTCTTTCTTCAAAAGAACTAGTTTAGTTCAAAAATTAAGTCCGAACTTTAACACAAAAATTTGATATACTTCAGTTCGAGATCAATCCATAATTATCCCATAAATGTGGGTCTGACACAATGTCTTTCTTGGTATTAAACAGACCCAATAATTTATTTAACAGAACTTCCACTGATTACCTTACATCAAAGCAGATTTTATTTTTAGTCTAAGGTCACATTCACAACAGATGATCCTCCGATCTTCTAGTCAGCGTATCAAATATGGCGGACCCCTCATGAAAGCAATACCGCCTAATCCTTTAATGGTCTCCTCGCCTCCACACAGATTCAATTTAGCTTCGAGGGCTAGGCCCCAGGAAAGGGGGGGGGGCGACAGGAAGACCATTAAGGGGCAAGGCAGCCTTGCTTTCAAGTGGAGTCCGCCATATTTGATTCACGGACCAGCAGATCCAAGGATCATCTGTTGTGAATGCGACCTAAGTCTCAAAATTAAGACTAATTTTCAGGCTTAAGTTGTGACACTGGCCAGTGATCATGTCCATCAAAGCTGTCCACAGCTTTACACAGTTATTAAGACAATTACTAGGAAACAACAGCATTTTTACTGACTGACTGTGTAATCCTCCTAAACCAATGCTGCAGATCCACTTTGCACAGTTGGCTGTAGATCTGATTTTAGCAATCAAGACTTAAAGCATAGATTTGGGACTTCTTTTTAAACCTACCCCTACACAATGTCTATCAGAGTCATCTCTCCTCTCAGTTTCACCACCCCACCGATGAATATTTCAGTAGGGTAAAAGCTCATTAATATCGCACGCACCTCCCCTTCTTGTCAGAATTCATCACATTTAGATACTAGCAAAGACAAGAAAAAATCTTACTAGGATGTTACATCTGTCAACCTGCACATATTTTTTCTGAAATTTATAATATCTAATGTATCTACATTTTGAAACATTAATTTTCAATTCTGTTTTAATTTTATGAATAATTACCGTAGTCCCAGCACACCTGAGTTTCTAATTAAGTCCTCTGTGAGTATAAAACACAGTCAGTCTATGGGCATAGAGCTAATTGCCTGCTGGTTGTCTTTAACCTATAATTGCCATTAGAAATTACATGATATAATCAGGACAGTTGCCTGTCACATGTCTACTTAGGCTTCTTTGGCCTGGATGTGTTTACATCAGGTCTTACTTACACCAGAAACACTTAATGCTTAATGAACCAGCTGGGACTATACAAAGCAATTTTGCAAGGAGTGAGGTGGTTTTCTTTTCTGAAAAAGTGGGCCCTTTTTACCCTCTTAGCCAACTGATTGAATCAAATTGAGAAAGGGCATATACCCCGTTCACACTACGCTCAGTTATCCGGATAAATTGCGAATTAGGTCACAATTCGAATAAATGCAGTAGTGTGAACGCAAGAGGATTTTTGTAATGCGCATTTTCAAAATCCTGCAAGCGAGGTGGATTTCTAAGCGCGATCCGGATAACTTACCGGAATCGACACCTGTACAGATCTAACTGCACATGCGTGCAGATAAGTGCGGGTATCTATGAACGCTTGTTTATTACTTTAGCGATTGCACCAAACGTATTTGGAGGTCGCCACTCACTACAACATGAGGAAACAAACTTATTTTGCCATCTTATACTTCTCAAGAATGCTGGAATGTCTTTAGCGTTTCATTTGTCGTCACAAATTGTTGTTGGTATTTTAAGATTTTCTGTGCGGCGCATGCGCGAGTGTTCAAAACAGGAAGTTAAACCTGAAATTTTCAACGTGGGATTCGGATTCGCTTAGCGTGTGTGAACGCAATACCGAATCGGATTCCTAACGAAAAATTCGGATTATAGAAATGCGCATTTTTGCAACTGTAGTGTGAATGGGGTAATAGAGACTGTTTACTAGTTATCAAATTTTGATATAGAGCAGACCTTTCAAGTAAGGTCAGTACTTTCTAACCCCCTCCCCCATACCACCAGACACGATGTGACATTAAAAAAAATAGCATGTCCTAACCAAAACTGGACTTCGGTCAAACGTTTATTTCAAATTCACAGATAAACTAACAATAGTGTTCCAACAAAGATTACGATTAGCCAGCGATGGCTTCACAATCCATAAATTCATCTTCAGTTTTTAGTTTATTTTGCTGTGAATATTCTGTACATTCATTTAGTTTCAGTGGCCAATGTGGGACTGACAGATATCTGACTTTCCATTCTGGTGCAAAACTGTCAAAACATTTATACTGGAATATATATTATTGAGAAATCTTCACCCTATACGGTTAAGAGGAAATATCATGGGGATTGAACAACCGCAAAGTTCTTAAAAGCAGAAATTGTGTACGCACTCTCAAGGCAGTTATTTGTTTTAGCTGTATGCCTTATATAATTTACGCTTTGATTAAACAAATCGTTCTTGGTGGAAGATATGATAAATTGCTGAATTAGTCCAACTATTTATCAACATGGCATTGCTCTCAAGAAGTGATGAGCTATGGCAGCTATCAGTATTTAGCACAGATGAATCTAGTTTCTACAATCTACACAAAATTTTTCACGAAAATTGATTTTTAATATATACAAATAAAACACCTTAACTGTTGTCAATCTTCTGTTTCTGAATATTTTTCTCTATAAAAAACAGAGCAACTTTCTTGACTGACTGACTGAATCAATTTATTACATAAAAAGGAGGAAATACACGACAGGAAGCCAACTCCGTCTTTGCTTTACACAACAATAAAAGCAATGAATCCTGAAAAATGATTTATTAGGTTCCAGTCAGGGCTTATCTTAACATGTTGCCTGTGGCCTTCAATTTAAACTGGATCCATTACAAATCAGGAAGATTTTACCACAGTACTGCTGCCATTTCCTCTGTGGTCATCAACTCGATCAAATCAGCGCCTATGGTCATGTTCAGAATGGGACTTTGCTTAAAACTGCAGGCCCATGGTCAGGGGGGCTTAGGTGGTTTGAAAGAACCCCCCCCCCCCCTTTTTTGCCAGAAAAAAAAGGTCCCCTCTGGGTAAAATTTTATTTAGGTACACAAAGGTTTCATAGTAAAAAGTGTACTTTTTCAGAAAAAGACTGCCCCCCCTTCCCCTTTTAAAATTGCTGGCTACGGGCCTGAACTGATACATCTCTCCCAAGAAGTCTTGATTACATTCAGATTAAGACTCCCACTGGGTTCCTAGGCGTGCTTTGTAATATTGTACATTCCTTGTTAAGCAATCTGACCATCAGGTGACATGGGATTTTCACATATATCCCACGCTGAAAATTTTGACTGTCAGCTCAAGTTAAATCTTCATCGTTCAAAGTGAGGGAATCTAGTTGTTTGATGAAGCCAAGCTTTCATATAGGTATAATTAAGCAAACTGGCTGTCTGCTCAGAGTTAATACTGTTACATTCGAATGCCCCATATTGAGTAATCTGGTCATTAGGTTAATGTCCCTTATTAGCCTATGGCAGCCTAATTTAGACCTGCTTTGAATGTGACTTCAATTACAAAATTAGCAATCTGGCCATCAGGTTAATATAAGTAAACCTATACAGTCTAGGTTAAAACTAGGCCTGCTTTAAATAGAACCTCAATTAGAAAATTAAGTGATTCTGATGGATGGGATGATGTCAATTAGCCTGTGAGCCCCAGGTTAGACCAGTTTTGAACGCGACCTCAATTAGAAATCTGACCATTACCAGACTCCGTATAGCTCACAGTGACTGCCAGATGAGGTGATTACCATTATATACCACGGAATAAATGAAATGAAGTATATTAAAGATCAAACTGGATAATTACTTGTATTGCCTACACAAGTATATCTGCACCCTTGAGCAATGAAAAATATTAAAGATCAAACTGTATATCTGTACTCTTGAGCAAAAAAAGAAAAAAAAAAAAAAAGAGTGGGCCTTCACTGTGTTCACCAGCTGAGATAACTGCAGTCTCTTATTAGGCTTTTTAGGATTTCTGTTGTGATACTGATAGTTTTGTCAGACTTAATGAAAAATACAAACAAGTAACAAAATGACAGGCATGGTTTGGGGTGAAAGAAAAAAGAAGAAATGGTTTTACCACCAGTGATCTGGAGGCCAATAAAGTGGAGAAACCTACCAAGAAAAAAAAATCAGATTTCCAATTTAAATGGTGGAAAAATCATGTTTAAATTGGAAAGTAGAGAGCTTTCACAGTCAAACACATGGAAATAATTTTTAATCTATGGTGGCCTTTGGAATTGTTTTACAGGATCTGCAAATCACAAATGCATCTCTTCTGTTGGACACCAAATTAAGAAGCCCGATTTCAGTATGTCCAGGGGAAAAACCATGGCGAAACTGATTTACAAGGTGAGCTATCATGTTGACATCTCCCTATCTGCTGAACAGGTAGGAACAAAATAACTTGACCCACCATAACTTAAATTGGAAATGCGCCTAAATACCACCTTTTACCTGCCTCACTTTGTGCACATCATTCGTGCAAAATCGTCCAGCCATATACCTTCATTAAATACATTTAGCAGAGTACTGCTTGTCCCTTTGTATCTGCAAAAGATCTTATAAGCATTTTCAATCTCCACATCATTTCCTGCCAGGAATTACTGTAATACTGCCTCAGGTTTTGTGGTCCCAGCATGCTTTATGATGGTACACTGACAGCGGCCCACCTCTTGGTCAAAGAATTACGCATTACCAACACACATAAGATAAGGAAATTGACTTAGCAAAATGAATAAGAAATAAAGTGGGAGAAAAAGAAACTGCAAAGCAACCTCTTTCTGAATGCTAAAAACAATCAGTTCGCGGTTATACATCTGAAACCGTGTTCAAAACCAAACTCATTTTGGTAGTACTTATGTGACAAATATAGTTTCACTTTGTGAAAACCCTGAAAACCATTAACTTTATAGACATAAATGTCTTAAATGCAATTGGAAGCA